GGGCTGTGTCTCCTTGGTACCGGCCAGGTGTTTTGCCGTGACAGGGACCAGACATGTTTCTTCCTTGCTCAAAACTGGTTGCAAATGAGATGCAAAAAAACAGTCCCAGCTAGTAGAATATACGAATACCACCAAGTAAGTACAACCACTAAAGGGCAAAATGAAAAATTTATAAACATAACGCGGGTGCGGATATATGTAAAAAAAATAGCTCTGGCAATCCAACCTAACCAAGAATGCAGGTCACATCGTTTGCCGCCAGGAAACGGCTGCTACTTCATCCATTTCCTACCGGAGCTACAAAACTCTCACAAACTCTGTTTACAACGTGCCACGAAAACAGAGATCTGCTCTGTCACTGAATCGTGATGAAGCCCTGATCAGTGCAGAACCATGGTTACCTGTAGAGGCGAGAAAATTGCCCAAGGGCGCACTTTGATATGGTTTAACAACAGCAAGACATAAAGTGCTGAATCTTGGTGTAGCATTGTAAGGGCCCCTCCCGGGCCACAAATCGACACAATTGTACAAGTCGCCGACCGGATTAAGCGATTTTGAATATCTTGCGGGCAAAAGCAGGGGGGAAAATAAGTGAAATCGATTGAAATAACAAAGCATTCAAACGTGAGACTAAAACAGACACTATAGCATTTGTTGCTCTAAAGGATTTCATGAGATAAAAGAATAAATCCATTGTTTTCAGCTCGACCAAAAATAAAAAATTGGGAATTTTCAGGAGGGGTCGTAGTTTTGTTTTATCTCATCAACTTGCCACAAGCTACATTTACTATGAGTTACTGGTAATTTGCCCGTTTTTGATTTAAGAGGTAGGCTGCTTTGAACCTATTGCGGATTCGGGGATTCGAGTCGCGAGCCCAACATTGTGTCCTTCGGAAAAGAATTTATACATGAATGTCCCTCATTTCACCAAAGTGGTAATTTAACGGGTTATAGAAAGTGAAAGATAGTGTCATTATGTTAGTGTTTTGGCGCCAATATAAGTGGTGGCCTGAGACTATAAAGCGATATAGAGCTTGCTGTTGAGCAGGAATTTGCGCTATACCTTCCAGGTTCTGGAATCGAACTCATCTGTTTTGTGATATCGACGGTGAAGAATTTAACTGCTTCACTACATACGCCGTCCAAATGTCATGAAGAAGACATATTATAATAGTTATATAATATAAATTGTACTACCTTGAAAAAAATGTACAAAACCCGGAGCTACTCACAGTCGCGAGACCGACAAAGTCGAACTTGTAGGCGTAACGTTTCCCGTGGACTTTGGTCATGATGTTCTTGTCGTAGTAGTAGCGCAGCGCCCGGCTCAGCTTGTCGTAGTTCATGTTGGGCTTAGATTTGCGCTCCCCCCAGCGACGTGCCACTTCGTCAGGGTCGACCAGCTTGAACTCCCCGTTGGTTCCCTCCCACGTGATGCAGGCGGCGTTGGCCGAGTCGGAGAGGAGCTCCAGGAGAAACTGCCACAGCTGGATCTGACCTGAACCTGAGAGAGAGGTGTAAAGGGTAGATAGAAAAGGCAAGGGAAGGGAGAGGAAGGGGCGAGAGAAAACGTAAGATTTAGTCATAAGAGTATCGTCTTCTCAGCATAAGGCTCCGCCATATGTAATTGTAACTCCTACATCTTTCTGCTCTTAAAACAAATTCTTACCCAAACTCAAGAACAGACGCTTCTCACTAGTCACATTTCTTAAATGTTTAATATAGATCTAATTGTTTTTAATTCCCCCATCGACACAATTTAAATAATTCATTTAGGAGAGTTGTTTTCCATCAGAAAAAAACCAGAGGTACTCGACAAAAAAATACTCCCCAATCGGGAATCGAACTCGTGTCTCCTGTGTGCGACACCAGAGTGCTCGACCGCTGCGCCTGAGATGGCGGTTGAAAAATCTCTACCTTAACTCCCCCCCTCAAA